GGAGAAAAACCAAAAATAAAATAAAATAAAATAAAATAAAATAAAATATATAAGGTGAATATTTAAGTCTAAAAATTTATCGCAGAAAAAAACACATTACCATTAGTCCCGCTCAAAATGCTTCCCTTCACTCCAAACACAGAGAGGAGGGAGTGAGGGCTCAGAAAGGGCAATGACTTACTTGAGTTGCACAGCAGCTACGTGGAAGGCACTAGACTCAGACCTCTCCCACTACAAGCCAATGTGTCAACCAAGGACAGCTGGCAGTGTCAGAGTCCGTCTCTTCCACCAAGCCCCAGGTGCAGGAAAAGGTCTGTGGGCCAAGCTGTGCCCCACAGAGCAGCCTGGGGGCCTGGAATGCACCGCTGCAGAGGGGTTCTGGGGCTGGGAAAGTAACTTTGGTGTGAGGAGAACAAGCAACTGATGGTGCCCACCCTGAGCTCACCCAGAACCAAGGAAGCAGAGTTGGGACCATTGCCTGTGGGGAGAGAGGAGACTGTGGGTCCCTGCCTGGCCCCATGAGGGCAAGGTGTGGATTAGAGGAAAGGCTGGTCAAGGAGGAACATAAGGTGAGGACAGCAGAATCACAATACTGCTTGGCACTCCCAGTACTGAAGGGCACCTCATGATACTGAAGGGCACCTCGATGTCTTACTAGTGCCGTGCCTGGGTCTGTACCCACAAAATCCAAGCATGCCGGCAACAATGAAAGCAGTTGCTGAACACTGCTAGGGGGGCGAACAGTGGCACAGCCACAGGGGGAAACAGTAAAGGACCCCACAAAACAATTAAACATTGAAGAACTATGTGATCTCACCTTTCCATTTCTGAGTAACGGAAAAAAACTGAAATCAGGATCCCAAAGAGATCCTCACCTGTTCACTGTAATATCAGTCATGATAGTCAAACTATAAAAACCACCAAAGTGTCACCAAAAAATGAACGGAGAAAGAAAATGTATATGCACAGTGGAATGTCATATATCCTTTAAAAAGATGGAAATACCACCATTTTCAACAAAATGGCTGAAAGTGGGGACCATACACTAAGGAAAATAACCAGATTGACAAAGATGAATATCACATGATTCCATTACATGAAGCCCATAGGTCAAAATCCTAGAAACAGTGAGATAATGGTTTCCCAGGGGCTGCAGGAGGGGAAGCAAGAAGCCACTAATCAATAGGAGTAAAATTTCAGTGGAGCAGGACAAGTTCTAGAAGGGGCTGAGGAGCCCCATGCCTGTAGTCAACAATAGTGTGTTGTTCCCTGCCTTTGGTAGGAGGGGGATATGGCGAGTGCTCTTACCACAATAAAAGAAAAATAAGAGAATAAACATTTAAACAAGAAAGTGGTTGCTGCATTTGAGCATCTGGGTTCCAGGTGCCCTGCTTTTAAACCACGCAGAAGTCACGCGGGTGGCTGTAGTCAGCCCCACTTTTAGGTACCAGGAGATGGAGACCCAAATAGAATCCCAGAGGGAGAGGAAATGGCCAGGAGGGTGAGGCGCTGAGCTGCCTGGCACACAGCTGTGGCACATGGCATGCTCTCCCTCACACACACCACTGGACATTCTGGAGGAGGTTCACGGGTGCCTGGCCCTGTGCTTCCACCGGGGAGGGCAGGAGGCACCCAGTGGGATCAGTGCAGACGCAGGCAGTGTAAGGAGGGAAATTACCCTCCCCTCACAACCTTGTCACCCACAGACTTACACAGTGGTTGACAACAGAATAAGGGTCTGTCTCCAGCATTAATGTTAAATTGATATCTCTTCATCTCTCTTGCTCTCCCTTCCTCCTTCCCTCCCTCCCCTTCTGCCTCTCTCTTTTCCTTCTCTCTCTCTCATTCTTACACACACACACACACCCACACACACACACACCACATGCACATCCCTAGGGACATACTGTACATACCTTTTGCAATCTGTTTTAAAGCATCAAAATATTGTTGTCTGTATGTTCTAGGTCATTAACTAATCTCTTAATTTTTTAAAAAAATTTTATACCACTGGGTGCTGTGGCACTGCGCAGTTGCGCAATACATTATGTATTCCACTGCTTTCCTCCGCACAGCATTATTTCTAGATTCACTTATAAATTATTCACATTTATGTCTGCTTATGGCTCACTTATAAAACCCACATGGATATGTAATTGTGCATATCCAGACATGTTTCCTTACAAAGTAAATCCAGACATGAAAGAACTACATAAAGCAGTCCTTACAGGGAGAGGACGGCTGTCTTCTCTGCAATTTCATGGAGCACATCCCCCCACACACAGAGGCATTGCTATAGATTGAGACAGAAACCACTGTACTCTGATGAGATCAGTGACATCCATGTGCACTAAGAAGTTCGGTGGCTGCCTTTCCTGGACATGAGAGTATATTTTATTTAGCTTTAGTGAGTGGAAAGTGACATGTCTCTTTGCTTCAAAACATGTCTCTTTGCTTTATATTTCCCTTCAGAGGCTCTCTTCTTGAGGAGGACTTCCCACATTTCCCAGGATCCAGTGCACTTTGTGCATGTTACACTGATGGAAAAACAAGCAATTTTCATACTCAGAACAGTTTCATCCTCTGCCCACTTAGTCCTGCTTCCATCATCAGTGCCATCCTCCCTTGTACTCTGCAGTAATCTGACTTCCCCAAATTCCTCCTCAAACATCAGCCTAAAACCAGCTGCCTGAGCATCCCCCCCGATGCTGGCCATGGAAACCTTTTCAGTGGCTCCCCCTGATGCGAGTGAAGCCATTCGATTTCCTGTGAGGTAGTCCTCAAACCACTTCTCCCACTGTATTTCCCAACCTCTCTGAGTGCTATTAAGTACTCTGAACTCTAACCATGCTGAACGGGCCATAGGGAACCCAGCATCCTCCTCCACCACTGCTCCTGCTCTGCCCAGGCCCCACCGTGGGATGCTCCCAAAGCCCCATTCCCTGGGTACAACTCAAGTGTCAACTTCTCCAGCACATATCCTGTGAACCCCCACAACAATTTGACCATGCTCTTCCCTCTCCCTACCACACTTTCCTTTCTCCACCTTTGCTTCCTGCTGAGCACTGTATGTACTTCAGCTGCCGAGTGTGGAAGGACACACATTGTGACTAGGGGACCTCTTCTCACTGCATGCATTTGTGACCGGTAGCAAGATGGCAGCACACACCTCTCACAAGCTGACGTCCCCACTTTGTCCCTTGTAGGAACACAGTAAAGGGAGGTGCTTACCTTCTCACCCTTCTCTCCTTGGACAAAAGGTCCTCTGCCCTAGATAAGGAAAAGCAGAAGACAAAGGGTCACTACTGCAGAGCATCTCCGGGCCAAGACATCACCCTGCATCCCAAATCATCGCATGCTTTGCACCAGTTTGCGCCAAACCTCCAAAACACATCGCTATTATTTACCAAATGTGGTTCCCCATGAGTGTCATTTCATTTAATTTTTCTAATATTTCAGTATTATAGTTACTGTTCTTTGTTCTCGTAACACCTTTGTTGGGATATAATTTGTAAACCTTTTACTTAAAGTATCTAATTCATAATTTTAATGTGTTTATAGAGTTTCATAATGATCACCAAAATCTACTTTAAAATACTTTTATCACATCGAAAAGAACCTTTACCTATTAGTAGTCACTCGCCATTCTTCTGCTCCCAGCCCCATCCAACAGTAATCTGCTTTCTGTACCATTCTAGACATTTTCTATAGATGAAAGCGTGGGATAATTGCCTTTTATGACAGGTCTCTTTCACTTAGCAAAGTCTTTTCAAGGTCTATCCAGGCTGCAGCATGCAGCCAAACTTCTTTCTGCTGCAGACTGAACTGACAATGCATGGATACAGAACAGTTCATTTGCCCACTCTTCAGGAGACAGACATTTGCTCATTTCTACTTTGGACTACCAGAAATAGTACTCTGTGTATAATGTTCATTTTGTGCACCCTTATGCATGCATTTTGGGAGTATATACTTAGGGGTTCAATTAAATTGCTAGGCCATGCATAATGCCACACTGCAACTTTTTAGACCTGGAAGACTGCGTCTACCTCACCTCCACCTCTCCATACAACAATGTCTGGTGGGTCCTACTTCTCTGTCTGCCCAGTGGTCTCATCCTTTATGAAAGGCAAGGAATCAAAATCTCGGGACATCATTACTGAGTCTTGTATTTCACCTGTGGATTCTGTCAGCTATGTGTAATGCATTTGGGATCTGCTGGCCAATGCTCATATATTTATCAATGTTATATATTCTTAAAGGCTTGACCATTTTATCATTACAAGTTGTCCCTCTTTACCATTTTTGCTTTATAATCTGTGTTTTATTTATGTATTTATTTATTTACGTATTTATGTATTTATTTATTTATTTTTGATGCTGAGAATCGAACTCACAACCTCTTGCTTGCTAGGTAGGTGCTGTGCCACTGAGCTATATCCCTGACCCTATAACCTATTTTATCTGATATTAATCACTCCAGAATTTTTGAATGTTCTGTGCTTTCAAAATGTGTATTTCCCAACCTCCTTATACCTTTTTATATCTTTTTTTTTCCTAATACCGCAGGTGGAACCCAAAGCATTATATATGCTTGGCAAGGTCTATACAACTGAGGTACATCTCCTGCCCCCTATTTCTAGCTCTGAATATGATGTATGTCTCCTTTAGACAAAACGTTAATTGGATCTTGGTTTCATATCCTGTCTGAAAATCTCTGTTTTTTGGTGCTCTGTTTAATACATTCATACAAGATATTATTCATTTATACATACACACACACACACACACACACACACACAAAATTTCACTTTTTGTTTCCTGTGTTTCTTGTTTCCTTGTTTGCTCTTTTACTTCTCCTCCACTACTCTCTTCTGGATAAAGCAAGTATTTCCTGGTGTAACATTTTCCTTGTCTCACTGATACTCACTGATATTTTCACAACATAATGTGAGTTATTATTTTAGACATTGCTCTAGGACTTATATACATCTTAGCTTACCAGAATCTACTTGATTCATTAGAGAATACACTTTCAGTGTGATAGACACATGTATCCAGTCTTAGCTTTGTGTCCTCCTCCTGCCTGTGAGCTATTACTGGCCTCCGTGTTACATGCATATTTATTAGACACCCATCACACCGTACACTGGTACAATTCTTACTCTGAACGTGTCCTTTTACTGCTTTCTGGCTTCCATTATTGCTGATGACTAACCAGTTGTTAACCTTATAGGGTTTCCTTGCCCATGATGAATCATTTTTCCCTTCCTGCTTTTAATTTTTATTTGCCTTTCAGTACTTTGATTAGCATTTTTCTAAGTGTATGTCAAAATGCATAGCTCCTATCCTAAAAGAGTTTATGGAACATCTGGAATTTATAGATTACCACTTTTTGCCAAATCTACAGTATCTTCTGGCATTTTCTGTATGCTTCTCTGCTCCTTCCACTCCACTTCTCTGAATCCCTGTAATGTGCAGACTGTAGAGTTCCACATGTCTATGATGTTCATTTTTCATTTTTCCCTCTGCCCTTCAGAGTACCTGATCCCTAATGAACTAGCTTCAAGAATGATTATTTCTTCTGCTCGTCTAAATCTCCCATAGAATCTCTCTAGAACATTTTAAATTTTAGGTACTCTAATTTTAAACTGAAGAATTTCCACTTTTTTATGTTCTATCCTTTTATTGATGGCATGTGGTATGAAATATTGCCCATACCTTTCTGTACTTCTTTAACAGCTGTTCCCTTCCATTCCTTGAGTGTAATTACATTGCACTTTACAAATGACGTAGCTGTTATTCTCTCCATTTTGGTAGTGGTGTAAATGAGGGAAGGGCTTCAGAGAAGGTAAGAGACCTGCCCCAGGTCACACAATCAATAGAAGCTGATGCCAAGGACAGTTACTGAGGTCCACCTGACAGCAACCTTGTGTTACTGATGCTGCGTGGCACCGTGCTGGACGGCAGGATGAGAAGAGTGCGCTCAACCACTCTTCTTGATCTTCACAGCAATAAGAGCTGTTCCAGCGCTTTTGCCAACATTCCAAGCTATCTGCATGCATTCATTTAATCTCCATAATGCTACTAGACAACTTGTTTTTTTAACCCCATTTTACAGATGAGGAAACTGTTAATATAAAGTCTTGTAGGAGCCCAATGTCTCCCAGGCATTAGGCTCCCGGGTGCCACAATGAACTGTGACTTGTTCCAGCTTTTTTCCTGACCCACCATGAGGCAGGAAAGGGTGTCGGGAGACAATAGGATGAACGGACGGGAGATCATTCTTGGTAGAGGAAAAAGCACATTCAATTTGCAAAGTGAAAGAAGATGCCACAAAATCACTATTTGGGGACTCACAGTGGAAGCAGATTCTAGGGGCTGTGCTGTGAGGGATAAGAGAGCCACTGGGGCCATATCCAGGAGGTGTCCCCTGCCCATAGAAATGAGATGGCCTTTGTACCGGCCACACGGTCCTACCACTCAGAGATGACTCACCATGTCCCCTTTCTCTCCCTTGGGTCCAGGAGCACCCACTGGCCCAGTGATTCCCATGTCTCCCTGTAGGGTCAAAACCAGAGACAAACATTAGGCAATGTCCTCCAATAGAACTCCTGCACTCACAGGCTGCCCACAGCCAACCTCGCCCCTCCTTCCTAGAAGTAGCTGGTGTCATCTTTGCCAAGTACATAAGGAGGCCATGTGTTCCACCCCTGCCTGAGGAGTGACCAAGTCACCCTTCACGTTACATGCATTTATGCACAGGTCCATGTGTACCACCAGACTCAGGGGCTCAAAGACCTTTCTACACCATCCTCTAGCCCTTATGTCAATCTCAGCGCTTGGCCATTAGCAGAAGCTCCCTAATGATAATGGAGAGTGAATGAAATCAAAATTAGGAAAGGGACAGGAGGGGGTTGAAGGAAAAAGTGACTGACAGAGGAGGGACAGAGAAGGGAAGTGGGAGGGAGGGGACAAAGGAGAGGGGGGCATGGCTGACAGAATTCTACACGGGAGACGGAAGGAAGGAGAAGCCGGGGAAGCAAAAGGCGAGGCTGCCTCTGCAACCACACCTAGTCCTTTCAAATATCACAGCAGGCAATGGCTGTGCAATAATGTACAACTCTCCCGCTCAGTGCCCTCGGGTGACTGGTAGCTCTCAGGTTTCAATGTTCTGCAGTCAGAACAGAGACGGGAGAAGATGGCAGCCTGTGGAATGGTGAACAGTGGGGCTGCTCTTGACTTGAGCGCCTGGCTCTGTACAATTAGTAACTTCACAAATTTTGTGTAGAAATATTGCATGCAATTTAAAGAAATTTTAAAGGTCGAATCCTGGAAAGTTTCTGGAATGCATCAACTTGCAAGGGCAAATGCAGAACGAAGTGACTACAGAGGGCTAACCTTGAACAAACAAACTCAGAGCCTGCGCACCAGCAATCTTGCCCCTCTCCTGCCTATATTTTTAGGCTGAGAAACAGAGTTCTGAGCAGGCTCAGGACCTATGGCTGTTGCTCTGACCCCATCAGCTCAAGCAGCTCCCAGGCAAATGCTGGCTGGGAAGCCATCTAACCCACCATTGTCCTGACATCGAAAGCAAAGCGAGGAGTGCTCAAGCTCCAAAAGACACGTCTGCATGCCAGTACTGACCTTCAGACCAGGGAGTCCCACGGGGCCATCAAAGCCTTTTTCACCCTGCAGGAAGACACACAAAATGAAGCAATAAACCTCGATTTCAACCATTTCTTTCTCTCCTCCACGAGTTGGTTATCCACCTTCATGCTCAAGAGCCAGGCTTAGAGTGAGCCGAGAGCTGAGCAGGGAGTTGGACATAGATCTTGCTGATGACTAGAAGTCCAATCTTGAAAGGTAAACCTACACAGCAATGGTGAATACAGCCTCTAGACACCCAATCGGAGGATAAAGGATGGGAACAACGCGCAGGAGCAGAACGATAAATGCTGTACATCCTCACTGGTGCCTGGAAGGGAGAAAGTCCAGCAAGAAGCAGAGAGCAGGATGAGATACTGGTACCAGGGGGGAACAGGGGGAAGCATTAGTCAAAAGGCACAGGTTGGAGTCAGAGGTAGAAAGGATAAATATTTGAGGTGATGGTGTTAACCAACTCCACTCACTCATTCCACACTGTGTGCGTACACTGCAGTGTCAGTGTTATCTTACAAACGCTTGACCATCACTTTTCAGTATCAACTATAAATAAAGAAATAAAAATAAAAGGTCTTCCATGAGCTATTTTTTTACCTGGATATGTCATCATTTCAATTACAAAGAAAATTACGTTGCCTGCTCTTGATTCACTTATCTATTTTGTACTAGAATACAAAGCACAACACCATTGTAAGCAATTTCTAAATGTAAACTATGTTCAGTTTTGAAAATGGGCAACAGAGCTTGTTACTGGTTTTCAAAATGGGATCCAGAAGTTATGGCAGCCCTTAAATATTGCCATACTGAAAACAAACAGCAGGATTCCTGTAATTTTATATGCGTAAGGATCAGGGCATTAATGCAGGAAAGAAACACTACATCTAGTTATGCATATGCACTCCCCACTGACAACAAGCTGCCCTAGTCACAACTGCACATTTTACTGCTGCTTTAGGAAAACATACATTTAAAATCAATTTGCAGATGACCTTGGCATCTTCAAAGAAAGGTAAATAATTTTGTGTATATTTGACCTCCTATAGTGTCCACCAGAACACCTCGGACATCTGCATTCATGTTCACCACAATATTTGGTCACAGAGACAAATACAGGGACTCAAAAGACATCATGTTGATCTCCTCCAATAGTGAAAATGTTTGCAAATTGTATAGAAGATTTAAACCTCTGGGAAAAAGTCTGCTGTGGCTAGAGCTTTGTGAGAGAACTTTGACTCCTGAGCTCTAGGCTTTGGGTTTTACAAAAGTGCAGGGGAAGAGGTTTTTAAGTCACCTGTTTCAGAACGTAGTACTAAGCTCCCTCACTTGACCCTTTACAGCGGGAGGAGGGAACAGAGTTCATGCCTACCCTCCCGTGCCTGGGAAGCACTGAGACTGGCTCAGTGCTAAACTCCTGAGGTCAGGCAGGCCTCAGAGCACTCAGTCACCTAGGTAGAGAGCAGACTCTAGGGCTTCTGAGAATCATTTCCTAACTCCCTTCAAAGCCCTGTCTCAGACTAAGACATGCAGCACATGCTTAATGTCCATGGTCAGAAATAGGGAATGATGGGCTATTGGGCAATGCCACCCAGAGAGTGCAGAACTGAGACTACACATGCTGGTTGATAAGCTTGAACAGCGGGACCTTGTTCCTCCCAGAGGATGTGTTGTTTCACCCTTTGTTCCCAACTGTCCCTCCATCCACCTATCCATCCGTCATCTTTTTACACCTTAACCCACACCTCCATCAACTCATCCATTACTTGAGCCTTTACTTATATGTAAAGATTCTGTCTTTGTCATCTGCAATTAGGAGTTTATGGAAACAAAAGCAAGGAGAGGGGTTAGCTCAGCGGCAAAAGCGCCTGCCTGGCAAGCGCAAGGTCGTGAGTTCGATTCCCGGTACCGGAGAAAAACAAACAAAACAAAAAACAAAAAACAAAACAAAGCAAGGAGATATTTCAGTCCAGCATGGTCACTGTTATGGTAGACGGAAGCTCACAGTCAGGAAATAGCAGGTGTTGAAGAAATACTTAATTCAGTAGGTGGAGGGTGAATAGTGAAAGGCAGCAAAGAAAAAGAAGAGAGAGGAACGGTAAGAGGAAAGGTAAGAGGAAAGAGAGTAGGGTAGTCACAGAGATAATACTGTGCTCAGTAAGATTGCTTGGCCATGTCTTTGAAGAGCAAGCATCAGGCAGATGAAGGAGCTGAAGTGTAGGAAAAGATGATTTCTACAAAAGGTACTTCATAGGCAAATGACAAGGCTAAAAAAGTCAGGGCCCCTCCAAGAACCCAGAAGCCCTTGCTGGGCCTGAAGACCAGCTGGGAAGGAATGCAAGGAGCCTAACAGTGAGGCAGGAGTGAAGCAGTGGAGAAGTGTCTTTATGCACCAAGATCAGGCGGAGGCTGGGACTTTATAAGCTAGAGAGCAGGAAGACAGGAAAGGTAAAAAGAGGCCTGCTTGATGCAGGATGTCCCTCTTGAGGTCTCTGCCCGTGACCACATGAGTGGTAGGCATGCCCCACCCATGGCACAGGCTTGGCTGTAGGCAGAGCTGGCTCTAGCTGTGTGTGCATTGACTGGCGATCCTTCCCAAGCCCTTATCCACCTCACTTGCAGATCTAACCAAAAATAAGGATTTGGAGGATTCAAGTTTAGACAGCCACCTCTGAGATTTCACTGGCATGTGCAAGCTACCTGCAGACAGAGGCTGACATGCAAATACCAAGATTGGAGGAGGAGCTGGATGCCTTACACCAGACCAGGGCTCTGAAGGTCACTTATGGCCTCAAAAATGCCCCAGCTTGGGACACAGCTAGGCTGGCTTTTTTGGCTTGGCCTGTAGTAAGCTAAGCTAGGATGGGACAGCCTTGTTTGAAGGTGCCCTGTCTCCCCAAGGTCTGGCTCCTTGAAGGTGCCCTGTCTCCCCAAGGTCTGGCTCCCTAGGTAGAAGGAAAGAAAAGAAGGAAAATATGCAGAGTAGCAGAGGGGAGGAAAGAAGAAAAGGGGAGAGTCTGTTTGCCAGAACATCTTCCCAGTGAAAAGTGTTACAACATATGGAAGTGTGTCTGCTTCAGTTACTGTCATCCATCATCTTACCTCTTGGTCTGTGTGTCCCTAATCCTGGCAGAGTGCTTGCATCCCTCTTGCACATGGGCACTGACCAGGAGGTGCAGAGGGAGAAGGTGTGGCTACACTGGAGGTGGCTACACAGGAGCTTGAGGACAGTGGTCCAAGGGAACTTCAAAGAACCCTTCCCCATACAATTCTACCTTTTGTCATCCTTGTGCATTTTGTTACATTCTGCTCAAATAGTGAAGAACTATTATTCATAAACAACCACTGTTCTACAGAAAAATCAAGCCAGTGATAGCCTCAGGTACGTGATGCGATTTTTAATCCTGTCTCATGGATGGTAGCAGTGGTGCTCAAAGAAATGCATACATTTTAAAATTAGAAACAAATACATGGAACGTTACTGATACGTAAACTTAGATTATGGAGTGTGGCTAATTACGGCAACACTGAGAAGAGGGGGTTCCTTTCTGGAGGGCAGCTCAAATCCTTCTTTATAGCCCTGTACTGATTCTTATTTACAATCCAAGTCTAGTTTGATTTCATTGCATTTGAGTGCAAGTAATAATAAGTAGGAGCCAGAAAAACCTCAGGACTATATCATTAAGTTTGGAAAAATGTTAATTAGTGCCAAGCCTAAGCATCTCCCCTTCCACTGTGCACAAAAATTAAGAAACAGAAGAACAAAAGAACAAAAACTCTGTGCTCTTGGGGCTGGGGAAATAGCTCAAGGCACAAGTGCCTGCCTGGCAAGCACGAGGTTCTGAGTTCAGTTCCCAGTACCTAAAAAAAAAAGAAAAAGAAGAAAAAACTCTGGGCTCTCAACTGCAAGCCACCATGAGCCCAGGGCGTTGTGACCTGCAGACCAGGTACATGATGATAAACTCCCACCTCAGACAGTACCTTTTCTCCAGGTGGGCAGGAGCAGTTGATGGTCTTCAAGAACCCAATCTGTTCACTGCCAGGGGAGGGCGGCTGCAGGGGTGGAGGTGGAGGTTCTGTCACCACGGTCACCTGGCACTGGAAGGAAAGGTCAGTAAATCAGAATCTGGCTGCTCACCCACTGACCACTCCATTGCAAGAGACAAGCTTTCTGACTTCTAACAAGCCGGGCAGACAAAGCAGACCCAAGGCCATGGGGACCTATGAGCATACTAGGAAAGTGTGTGAGTCATGTCTGAAAGTGAGCTTTTGACTCCCTGAGGCACTGGGGCCAATGGGACTGGCCAGCACGGCCTCAGCCACCACACTGCCCAGCTCTTTAACCTTTTGAGCCTCAGTGTTCACCTCTGTGGAATGGAGACAAGGGTTTTTTCTCCCTAAGGTCAAGGATTTGATAAGACAGCATGGGAAATACCCCAACTTGAATCTTGCATCTGGTATACCCTCCTCTTCCCTTTTTCCTCCTCTCCTTTTTTTCTCTCTCCACAACCAGGTTCATCTAACTCCAAATCCCCAGCATCCACTGTATCCCTATATTCCCTAACTGCTGAGATGGGAACTGTTAGTATGTGCTTACTGTGTCCAGGGGCCTGGACCAACACACATCACACAAAGTTCACCCCTCATCTCAGGGAAGTGGGCTCGATGATAATTCCATCTTGCAAGTGAGCTTTGGAACTAGGGTTTGGTGGTGGGTAAAAGGGAGAAAGGGCTGAAATGCATGGGGGGTGAGGCCCAGATGTGGGTGGAACAGATCCTGCATGTAGTGGGCAGCGTGTCCTGAACTCCCTGTCTTGCAGCCGAGCCAGGGCACTGGGCTCCCCCTCCTCCGAGTACTGGTGACCTGGAGGCCCAGGCCCTCCTTAGGGATGTCCACCAGCCTCAGCCTCCTATGCTCCTGAAAGGTGAGTCTTCTCACATGACCCACAGCCTGCAGGTTGCCCTGACTGAGGCCCACACACGGCAGCCCCCTGGGAGGACCTGTCTGGCTCAGCTCCCCCAGCCCATGCCAGCGGAACTCAAGCATGGTCACCAGACTTCCCTTCAAGCCACACTCCGACAGCCAGTGCCCCCAAATTTTCCCTATTTGTCTCTAAGCCCTGATACCCTTTTTCTCCTCCACAGCCAATGCAAACCCTTCCAACCCTCTCTGTGCAAGAATCTACTCACTGGGCCAGACGGGATGTCGCAACAAGTCTCCAGCTCTGCATGTCTGGAGTCACAGTAAATTACAATCCTCTGTAGGTCAAACTAGGAAGGAACACAGAGAGAGAGGATGAGCTTCAGGGACTTTGAAAAAGCCTCCAGGGTGTCAGACAGGCCCTACTCAGGTGTCAGGCTCACTTACTTCCGCCTCAGACTCCCTCCCAGCCTTGCTCCCCTGCAGGACTTCATAGGGCGCCCGCGCATGACCTATGCATCCCCCTCCCTGTGTGTAGAGGAGGCTCAGGTGTGGGCTCAAGCCTAAGTGTCCTTCCTCTCTACCTCAGCCATACACAGGCACATACTCCTCCCTCTCCACCTCTGGCTTCTGATGAATCTGTATCAGCTTTTGCACCCCTGAGACAAAATACCCAACACCCATGATGTAAAGGAGGAGAGCTTTATTCGGCTCAGTTGTCAGTGAGTTCAGACATGGTGAGCTGGCTCCAAGAGGGAAACAGCATGGCAGAAAGACATGACGCAGGAAAGTTGCTCACCCCATGATAGCCAGGAGGCAGAGACAAGGGAGGACCCAAAAAGGAAGATATACCATCCAGAAGTATGCCTCAGTGACACGCCTCCTCCAGAGCCCCACTTCTGAAAATGGGAGACTCTTGGGGGGCATTTTCAATCTGAGCCATAATAGTCAGCTATGACTAAAGTAATGGTGCATCCTTTCCCCTTCCAAGAGCAGGTTATAGAGACCCCGGCTTCTGCCTTGCTTGGGGGCCTTCCTTTCTCTTCTTCCCTCTCCTTTTCCTCTCTCTTCACTCACCCTGGGGATACCAGCTGCCCTGTTTCAAATGGCTCCATGGACAAGATTTTATGCACAGAAACTAGTGTCTCCAAAAAATTGATTGGCAAAGAGCAGAGCTCAGCGCTCCCCCAGAAGGCTGCCAGCAGCCACCTGAGGGAGCTCAGAGTGGGTGGGTCAGTCTTACCAGAGTGCTGAGATGACTGCAACACTGGCCAAAAACTCAATAGTATATTCCTGAGAGATCTGTGTGAGCCATCCAGCTAAGCCACCCACCCCCAATTCCTGAATCTAAGAAATGATAAATGCTTGTGGTTTCAATCCCTTTTTATTGGGGGAGGGATGGGGTAATTTGTTATGCAGCCACAGTAACCAATACACCTCGAGCTACTGCTGAGAGGAGTTCCCCAGGCTGCCTTTTGTGCCACATCTGCATAGACAGCAGACTGTAAGGTTACTGCATGCCTGTGTGTCTGTCTCATTCTGGATTCCCAGTCCTTGAGAGCAGAGATGGGATCTTGAGCACCATTGTTTTAAGCAGGTAGCTGAAGTTGGCAGCAGCACAAGGAGGAGCTGGCCAATTCAGGCTGCTTATGCAGCTCCAGCTCACCTCCAATCCACACTTACTTTCCCTTCCTCACTGACCCAGACCACCGATGCGCAGTGAGCTCTTCCTCCCACGTGCTCTGCACACATGTGTTCCCCTCTACCCTTGGCCCACTTCCCACCTCGTCACTACTAGCTAAGCCCAGGGCCCTATCCCCCCAACACTACCCTGTGCCTCTTAGCAGCACCTGCCAGGGCACATCACTGTGTGATTCTCCCTTCACTCCAAACTCTGTTTCCTCTGCAGGAGCATCAGCTCTGCAAGAGCAAGGCCCCTGACACACAACGGATGTGGCAGAGGTACGGAACTAAGGGCAGAGTGAGCTTCAACCTCATGGACTTGAGCTGAATCACTAAAGAGCCCACAGCAGTCTCCATGGGCCACACAAAACTAAAGTGGAAGATAGACAAGAATTCTCCAGCACCCTCTCCCTATCCAGTGCTTTCTGGTTCTCTGCCTAAAGACAGAATCATGGCTTTAGGATTTGCGGGCATAACCAGGGTAAAACAGCAGCACAGTGAAGTCCATGAGGCCAACCCCTATCCACCAGGAAGACCACCTGGGTTTGTACTGCCGAGAGTGAGATTAGCGTGCTGGGTAGAATGGAATGAATAGCTGAGACCTAGAATGCATCCAGAAAGGAATCCCTCCAGTTCCTGAGAGGGGTTCCTGGTCCTCAGCCTGGCCAACTCCCACTCTCTAGATCTTGGAGGGAAACAAGAGGCATGAGGACATGTGAAGAGAAGGAAGGGCATCTCTGAGAATAATAGCAAAGAAGTTTTCAAATCTCAAGCCTCCCCAGCAAGCTCAGCCTTGGGTTTCTATGCTCCCCCAGCTTTACGATGGATAGCAGCCTGGACGCCCAGCAGCTCTCTGCCACTGCCCTCCTACAGCAGTGAATATGGAACATGCTTATTTCAGCTGGTGTCCACCTGTCTCCCTGCACATGGCCCTGCCCACATCCACGCCTCCTTCATCCTTCCTGGCAGGGCCGAGCCCCAGTGCCTCTTTCCCACCCACCATCCTCTCCTCCTATTTCCCCACTCTGCACAACCCTAACCTTCACTCTCCCACTTCAGCCTTCCCAGTCCAGCCACACTCACAGCTGACTCCCAAGCCTGTGCAGGTTGACACTGGGCTACTTCCTGCATCCTCACCCCATACTTATGCTCCCACCATCATGAGATGCTGCTGATGCCAAGCTGGTCTACTTCATGGCTCCACAGAAACATCAATCTCCTGCAGGGCACATCCCAAGAGGCACCTCCTCCAGGAAGTCATCCTATGTGCTCCTTTTAATCCTCCCCCACACTCCCTGCTCATTTAGGTTGGATTCTTCTCCTCTGGGATTGGTAATGCTGGTTTGCACTGTGAACTGTATGTAGCAACACTGTATGAGGGTCTCTTCCATAGAGGATCCAGGTTCCTTAAAGTTAACATCCTTCTCCTCCCACTTAGCACACATTACTGAACTTCTACAGGACTCCAGGCAGAAGAACAGGGGTGCAAGACAGAAGCAGCAACCTCTCTATGGGGCTAGCACTCTTCCAGGCAGGTGCGATATGGCTGTGGCTCACACACACCAACAGGTGTTCCATTAACACCGTTGAGCTGCAGGAAGGACTAGGCTGCCATTCACAGGACTCAGGATCTGGGAGTTATATCTCCTCTTTGTCCTTGTCCACACCTGGATAATCTCAGTTACTGGAAGCATATATATTTTGTGATTGTGTAGTTGTCTGTACTTTATAGAACTCACCCAAGCACTCACAGGGCCTTAGTCCCAGGATGCCTCACAGATACTAAAATCTGAGAGTGCTCAAGCCCCTGGTGTAGAAGGACAAGAATTTGATCTTGCTGTTCTTTACAGGTTCTACTATCCCCAGTGCTAGAACAATGCCTGGTACACAGCTGGTGCTCAATATACACATGATGAATGGCTGAAGAAATAGCTGGATGGTGGACTGAATGGATGAACGAGTAGTGGTAAATTTGGGCTCCAACATGAGTCAGCATCCACCATTCTCAGTTCAAGGTGATGACTTGATAAACATCACATGCAAATGTGGCGGGCAACAGGGTCACCCAGCACCTAAGCCTCCACCCTGGGGCCTCAGTACTCACATCGATGGGCACACTGTCATAGAGGCGCTTGCCGATCACTGTCTTGCCCTGGATGTCGATGTTCTCTCTCTCCTCAATGGGCAGCGTCTGCACCAGTGCACAGTCAATATACAGGGAGACATTCTGGGCCTGGATGCTCAGGGCCAGCTTGTGCCAGTCCCGGTCAAAGAGGACACTGACACGGGGACCTCGGAAGACCACCCTAACGGCATCCTGCATAGCACCCACGGCATTGTACTCCACTGCCTTGTTCTCGCCGTCCAGCCGGATGGAGACCTGCAGGGGACAGGACCAGATATTCCCTGAGTGAGTCCAAGTGGGAACAGGACAAGGAGGGGACTACAGAGTCAGAGCTGGGTCAGATCTAGGCTGAGACTCTGCCAACCGGCCAACTGCTGTGTAATTTCAAGCTGGTAGCATCATTCTCTGGGCTCTTGCTCAGCATAATGGCATCATGGCCACTTTGCAGGTTGCTCTAAGCCCTGTGCTAAGTGCAATCACTAAACCCATGAATCCAGGGGTCCCTGACTGGGAGGGGCTGTGCAGATAAAAGAGGTTTTATGAGACGGCAAGAAGGACTGGAGGTGTAGTGAGACCAGCTGGAAGTCTTAACTAGTTCCAGAGTCTCTTAAGACCCTTGGCTGGATAAACCAAATGCATCCCCTGGCCAGATACCAGATACCAGATACCAGATACCAGTCTGCAACCCCATCTGTTAACTTGTACTGACTTTCGTCTTGGGGACAAAGCTGAAGCCTGAGCAGAGTAAAGTCCCTGGATAGCAAGAGACACAGCTCTGCAAATGCCATGAAAGAGGAGAACCCAGACTATGGGGGTGGTGTGGACTCATCCACAAGAATGTTATGGCACGTGCCCAGTCCCACCCCACCAGACTTGAGAAAGTGGAGAAGCAAACCCATGTAACTGGAGAAGGAATTGGATGGGAGCACAATGAGCTGCATGCTGTCCAGAAAAATGTTCTCTGCAGAAGAATCTTGATTCCCACGCTCAGGAAACTGGGTCTCTGGTCAGGTCACACCGAAATGCGTGTGCCTCTCAGTGTGCCCAGGGATGCTACAGAAAATGTATGTATCTGTCTGTGCCAGGGGATGCTACAAAAGAATGATTCAGCAGGACTAGCTGATGGGGACTGGCCAGCTGAGCACATGCTTAAAAGTATCAATTTGGGAGCTCACCTGCCTGGGTTTCAATCTCAGCTCTTGATCTTATTACTTGTGAGAACTCAAGCAAATCGCTTAACCTCTGTATGTTCAGTTTCTACCTCTGTGAGATAATAATAGCTCATCCCCATCTACAGGGAGGTGATGAGCATGAAATGAACAAAGACTGGTGAGTTGCTGAGAGCACCTCCTCCACCACATAGAGAGCAGATCTAGGTTGGTGAGCAATGTGTGCTAGCGCAGACCCCAAGGGAGGAGGCTCTGACTATGACACTGATGTGATTGCTGGATACATATACAGGCTTTTGTTTTATTTAAGCCCCACATGAAAATTTAGACAGCGTTCCCCAGCTACAGTTAAATGACATGTGCACACAGTTTATTTTCCAGGAGATGACAAAGGTACGGCTGCTCTATACCTGAGAACAAAAGGATGTAGAATAGAAAGCAGTGCTGCTTTCAACTCAAACCAACAGGCTGCAGTGGTGGCCGGGATTCTGGGACCTGACTTTCTTTACTGCACCATTCTTCCTTACAGAAATTAAGAGCCAAAAACACACTCTAGACAGGTGAAGACAGCATTTAGAGCCTGGATGAAAAACCCCAGGAAGAACTGCTGCAGTCATAAGAAGGAATCTACTCATGAGAAAATTCTATGGTGTCAGACACTGTACTGGCTGCTTTCTCAGACATTATTATATCGGATTCTTCTGCCAGCCATGCATCATAGGCATTCTCTATTTTCCACTTTCCAGCTATGAAAACAAGGACTCTCAGAGCCCACACCCCAAAAGCAGGAGGCACAAGATGTGCCAGTTCCAGTGCTACATCACGAAGCTATATGGTGCATACTGCCAACAAGGCAGGTGCCACTGGACACCGTAGACGGTGGCCACTTCCTAGTTATTCAGAAAGTCCCAGAGGATGGAGACTATGTTTCTTTCCTTCTCTCAGAATACCTGGTCCTGGGCTATCACTGGGAAAAGATGTTGGACCCAATGGGTCCTGCAACTCTACCCTGTGGCTTCTCCAAGGCCCATACATGAGTGCCCTGGAAAAAATACAGTGGCTACCACCATCCCCTAAAAAAGCAAATGCAGGCTCTGAGCCCATGGAAACAAGACAGCGCCAGTACCTGGGGGATGCCATACTGGTCAATGACCTGCCAGATGTACCAGTCTTCTTTTCGAGATATTTTCCGCAACCGGAAGGTGGTGACAAAGGCATACTCATCAGGGAGACCTTGGGGAAACACATCTCTGTGGAGAAACAAAGTCAGGTTACACTGGGTTGTGTGAAGGCAGTAGAGATCAGGGAAGGAAGCCCAGGCACCCTATCAGCCACTGAGGCCTGCCAACATCCCCTCTAAAGGATCTCCCCAGTACAACTTCTTGGGCTATACTGGCTGCCCTGCCTTGAGGCCAGAGCCTCAATGAGACCCACTGCAGACATTGTATGGCCCTGACTGTCTCCCTGCCCCACCCTAGCTCCTTCCAATCCCACCCTGCAGTGTTCATCTGTTTCTGGCTCTGCATCATCACTACTCTAAGGAGCCCCTGCCCCAGCATGCATGCAGTGGAGACTTCAGGCCTTCTCCTCTTTTTGTCTTGTTCCTGTTCAGCTAGCTGTTTTATCTTACACTGCTTTGCTTCCTGTCCCAGGTACCAAGATGCTATGGTCTCAGTGTGTGTGCCTCCCAAAATTCATGTATTGAAATCCTAACCCACAAGGCAATGGTGTCAGAAGGTAGGGCCTTTGGAAGATGGTTGGGTCATGAAGGTGAAGTCCATGATGGTTCGGATGCCCTTAGGAGCGGGGGGGCCCCACAGAGCTCATTCAGCCCTGCTGCCATATGAAACTACAGTGAGAAGACAACCCTCTACGAGTTTCTACCTTAGACTTCCCAGCTCCAGATCTGAAGAATAAATGTCTGTTGTTTGTGAGCTACCCAGACTTTGTCACAGTAGCTGGAATGGATCAGAGTACAGGACATCCTCTTCCCTCCACCAGACCCTGGCCCAACAGGTCTGCACGCCCAGACCCTCACTTGTGGCATCTGTGACTCTCTGCTGCTCTACTCCAGCTAGTTTTGGAACTGCCCTTTTTTTTTTAAACTCTATCATGAAAACTGTCAGTTTCCTACTATGGAGAGCCAAGTCCTCTTCCATGATCCAAGCTCCCAGCCCTCTGTGCCTCCAGAGAGCATACACAGGCCAGCTGTGCTTCATCTCCATTCACATCATGGACAGAGCCCCTGAGCTCCCTCCTGCCTCTGAGATCAGCATTCGTCCCCCACCCTAGTGCCACAACAAGTCCTCCCTAGACACTGCATTCTTAGTGGCTGTCTGCCCCATCTCATCTCCCAGCCCTTGCAAATGGGGTTCTGCAAAAGTTACCTACACACACTTCCACTTCCCTATAACTTCCCCATTTGCTTAACTAGTAGCCACCTGACCTCTTCCCATCCATTCTCCCCACATTTTCTTGTGAAGTTCCCTGGAAGGAAACATGGACAAATCCCTGTCCCCATAGCACTTGCCAAGGTGCCCACAGCATGGCGAGCTCCCCATAAATGCTGCATAAAACTGTCTTCATCGTGGTTCCATGGAGAAACCTTATTTTCCCCAGCCCCAGTGAGGGTCTGGTTAATTTTCCTAGAGGACACATCCAGGACAACACTGACCTGGGCACCAGCTGGTACACCGCAGGTCAGTCACCTGGCAATATCTCTTGGCCCCTCCCACCCCAGCTGTGATAACAAAAATGCTTTCAGATACTGCCAGTTTATAGGGGCCATATTTTCCCTGACCGAGATGGCTGACCTAACCTACACTTAAAATCAAGCCACAAAGAGTTTAGCTTATTTTTCTGTAGTGTTTCCTAGGTTAAGTATACTGTTCACACATATAATCTCATTTGATATAAGAAATGATCATTTGATATAAAATTCTAAGAGTCATTTTTAAAATGAGGACTTATTGAAGCTTAATCCAAGCTGGACACAACATTTGCATGTACATCTCATTTCTTCCTCGAAAGAAGTCATGAAGAAGGTGTTCTGGGGGGCTGGGGATTTAGCTCAGCAGCACAGCGCCTGTCTGGCAAGCGCAAGGTCGTGAGTTTGATTCCTGGTACCAGAAAAAAAAACAAAACAAAAAAGGTGTTTTGTTCCTCCTACTACAGGTGATGGCACCAAGGCTATGCTGGGCAGACTCCTGAAAACTTGCAGAGTGTCACACCCAGAAGACCAGGATCCACAGCTCTTTTCTTAGCCATCAGCTGACAGAAACTTCATTCATTCTGCAGAATTTGGTCACGGTAGAGCTGGATACTGCACCGGGGCAAAGGGGCGTCTCTGGGGACAAATGGCATGGATTTCTCCCTTAGAGGAGGTGGAATTCATCTGGCCAGACAGCCAGGAAGAGAAGTGGGAAGCGTCTGGCCTCCTGGTTCTTAGATTTACATGTCCTTAGGGACACTTCTTCTGACTACAAAAGACCAATCTTCTGTGATTCTCAGCTCACAGATCCACGTAGAAGTGGCCTTAGTGTCATGCTGTGAGCCCAGAATTTCACCCAGGATCACACCCAAGCAGAGCAATCAGGGGCATCACACACGACATTTGTGCTTCCTTCAGAATTCAGAGACAGCCTGGTCACTGCCCACATGAGAAGATATCCCAGCCTCCATCCAAAGACCCGGGCTTGGTAGCTGCAGAGAAATATTTTGCTTCATTTTTTTCTTTATTTCCTGAGTGAATGCAACTGTGTTCCTATTTTCTTTCTTTTTATACTTTTGGGATACAGCCATAGATACACACGTCTGTACACCCTAAGATATATGTAACATGTGTACATACCTAAGAAAATGTCACATTAATCCAAGAGATAAAAAGGTCATCAATTGAGAAAATCTAGGTAAAGAAAATGCCTTATTGCAACCCTTTCCCAAAATAATACAGCAGATTATAAGATTACAGGGCAAATAACATGGGTTTGGGTTTTGAGGAGCTCAGTTTGAGGTCAACCTCCACTTCCAACAAACAGGGAGATTTTGAAAAGCTGCTGTCCCACTCAGTCTCGAATGTTGCACCAGGTCAATGAGAATAATGCCTGCTTTGTTCACCTCATTGTATTTCAGTGAGAAATAACCTGGATGAGATGTGTGAAATGCATTCTACACATTAAACAATTGAGAAAAATGTCAATATTCAAAGGGACATCCCTTTTCAGTTATGAATAGAATTAACCTGCAAATTAAATTAAGTGTATGTATATGTTATAAGTTTCAATGCATTAGCAATTAAAGGGAAACCGTTCTTTCTTGAAATTTCAGTGCTTTATCAGTTTGATTTCTTCCTGTAGTTTTACCATTAAAACAAACATGAAACCATATGGCAGTCCTTCCTGTGGACAACTGTCAGCATCTCATGAGTCCAAATTCATCACCCAGAGCTGGGTCTGACCCTCTGCTCCATAGAGCAGTGCCTACAGCAACTGCACCTTTGATCCAGGTGGCTCAAAGGAAAGAGGAACCTCTAGCCAATAGGAAGAGCCCTAGGTTAGACCCTGCCCTTCGTCCTGGGCAACGTCTGCTTTCTCCCTGCTTTGTTCTATTCTTTATTGCATTTTCCTTTAAGACGAAGTCACCTAGGATCTTTGTGTGCTTTAGTATAAGCAGTATGATAGGTGAATTAAAAAGGGGAGTGAAAGAAGACTGGAGGCTGGACTCTACTCATCCTTGGGCACCACCAGGGGACCAGGAGACAGATAACAGCATTGGCTGAATCTCTGCATAGATATAGAGCAACCAATGCTCAGTGTCTTTAAAGCCAGCTGACATTCATCACTGCCTCCCTTTCACAGGTGACAAAATGAGGCTCAGAGAGGAAGAAACTTGCCTTGTTTTCTTTCTGCAAAATCGCAGTGACGAATGCAGACACTGAGCCAAAGGTGAGATGACCTCAGGGTGTCACACAGTGCCTGATACATGACTTAAGTGACTGCACATGGGCAAAAATCCAAACTCTGTGACCTGGTGCTCGACATCCACCTTGGACAGCTGGAATCTGACACAGCTCTTTCATTCACTGCTGCCTGACTGACTCATTCTCTCGGCAAAGGGCAGGGAGTTCCCCGCCAGGACCAAGACTCAGCTCTCTCCGGAGTTTCTGGACCCTATCCCAAAGGACTCACTGCACAGATGCCCAGTGGGTCTGCTGTGTGCAGGAAGACAGGCTGTAAAAACAGTGGACTGGGGGAGACCTGGCTTGGACGGGGAGTCCAGGGACAGTATCCTGGATAGCAAAATGATGGAACTGCATTCTGCAGGAGAAGCAGAGGTGTCCCAGGCAGAGGGAAGAGCTGGGACACAGAAGGCTGCCAGGACCTAGGGCCACAGAGGTGGATGAGGGAGGCCTGGGGATGAGCCAGGAGACCACACAGCCAGGTGGCCAGATCACACCTGGAGCCTTCCCTATCTGTCCCACCTCAGTTTGAAAACACCTGGAAGCAACTCAAGAATTTCAAGATGGAGCAGAGGTGGCCTCACACACTATCGGTTTTGTTTTCAACTGATCTGTCTGTGAGGAGGAAAGTGGAGCATTTGCTTGGCTCGTTATCCCTTGACTGGAGACACAGCGGGTAACAGACACTGGAAAACCTCTGTATCATATCCTCTTAACTAAGGTGCAAGGCAGGACAGCCAGCTCAGGTGGAAAACAGGAGGAAGCTAAGCCATAGATAATGTGTTCATTTCAGGCTCCCAATCAGCTCCAAAATAGTCTCCATGGGTCAAAACCCTACCTGATTCTAGGAGGTGCTGTGTGTGGCCAATCTCCAATAGGTGCATGTACCTGTGACCATAAATGGTTATGAAACAGTGGACTGCTAGAAAAGGACATACCTGAATGAATGATTAACGCCAAACGTATATGGAAAGATGAGTGTAGAAGGGCCAAAGAATCATTACAGTCAATGACAATAGAGGGGTATAGATATAGGTTAAATCCTCACTCAGTGGCCGAGTTGCTTTCCCTTACTGTGACCTCCCTAGACAAGGCTCAGTGGGGTATGCCCCAGCTCAGTGCCCAGCCAACCCCTTCCTGCACGGTTCCAAAGCATTCAGAGAGGGCCTGCAAAAGAAGTGACCACTCACTCGGTCCTCTGCACCACAGGAAAGGATCCCATCCGCACATAGGAACTCTGAGCTCCATTCTCTCGCTTCCCCAGGATTTCCTTCACACTGAAAAGATCCATCAGGTCAAAACCTGCACAAAGAGAAGAGGTAGGAGTGCATGTGGCAGAGAAAAATATGTACCAGAGACAAAGGAGCAGCAAATTACTTCTGCAACGACAGCTTCCTCTACCTGTCCCAGGGGATGGGTATGTGACAGAAGCAGTTCAAATATTCATGGCGGAATGGGTGAATACAGTGAATGTTTAAATATTTTAAAATTATTACAGTAGAAGACATACCGCCATTAATCCCTCTCAAAATACTTCCAATGCACTCATCCCCTCCTTCTTGCCACGTTTTGAAGTAGTCCTGGAAGTCCTTGTTCTTGAGGGTCTTTACTTGAGGGGTTGTGGTGACCTAGAGGTCTTGAATCAGCTCCAAATGCTTACCTTTCATGGTCATTTGGACTCAGGAAGAGTGAGAAGTTGCACAGTGCCAGATCTGGTGAAGTGAAGAAGGCCTCACCATAAGGTTTTAATGAGCCTGCCTTTCCATTGGATGAAACTGGGCAGCAACACTCACCATAGTTGTGGTCATACATCATAAAGATAGTCATGGAAGAGGACCCGAAAAACTGCTTCAGAGAGTGGCAAGAAGAACACGATAAGTATGCTCAAGTGAAGGGAGTATTTTGAGGGGAATTAAAGACAGTACGTCATTTACTGTAATATGTTTTTATTTAGGAATACATTATTTTGTGATCAGCTGTTATAAATTCAGGGAGAAGATAAACAGGCATGGGATACAGTTTCAACTTTTCTTCCAGGGAAAAGGCTGCCTTTCCCAGTGGAACAGGGGCACTGAGAATATCCTGGGTCACAGTCCAGCATAAGACACATGGCAGGTGTCCTGATTGTCTCCTGCACAGGGGTCTTGGTTCTCAGAAGCTCAAACGCTGCCCTGGCTCTGCAGGCAAACCTCAAGATAGGGCTTTTCTTCCTGTATCCACATTTTTGCCTTTCATCTGGACTTTGCTTGGATTCTAGTACAGCAGCTTTGACACTGCCTACTTTGACAGGAAGAAACATCAGGAGGAAGAAAACTCTCTTCATGACATTGCATTCAGGAGAAGCATTTATATTTTGTTTTGCTTTCTCATAACAGAGGACCTAAAAGTCATTTTCAGTGAAAAAGTAATGGACCGGTCACGGGCTCTGGACCTGGCCAAATGGTCAGGTCAAGGAATGGGCTTTAAATCTTCTTAGTCATAAATGTGTGTGTAGAAGTCCTGCTTGTATAAAGAGGGTAAAATGCCTAAAACACAGGGCTGCAAGATGGTATGGGACACTGAATATGCACCCCTCAGCAGGTGGCAAGAAACACAGAAAGCCAGTCTATTTCTAGGAACCATTCCCCACCAGTAGCAGCACCCCCACTTCCCCATCATGGTTGCTTTGACAAAGTTGTGCAGGCTGAGCTAGTCCAGCGAGGTGACAGAGCCTGCAGACCAGGTCCTCAGAGCACCCTGTGGACAATCCCTGCTCTGGAGGCTGACAGTGTGATACAGTGCTGACTTGTGACCCTGTAACTAGATGAGCCTTGGGGCCCTGAGAGAGCTCCCAGCAGTGTGAGGGAAGCTGTGTGAGGGTTGGCACAGTGGTACCTGACCCATAGACTTTAGGAAAAGTCCCTCACTATCTCTAGCATTCTCATCTACTCCCATAAAAAATAAGAAAGGTATTTGCAGGATTTACATTATAATGATCAAAGCCTCTTCTGCTAAATTCTGTCCAAAGAGATCATTTATCCAGTTAACAACTACTTTTGAGACCCTGCTCTGTGCCAAGCCCTGAGTAAGAATGGTCAGGGAAGGAGCGGGTTAGCATAAATGGAACACTACGCCTTTGCTGTATCACCTTACACAGGTTGACTACCATCTCTGTGCCCTTATTTCGATTGTTTTAGAATGTGCCTCATAGAAGTGCTGTGAAAATTAAACACTATGCCACAAAACTCTTCATACAGTGCCTGACATAGGAGGTGTAATCAAAGTACAGTGATACCTCAGTCCATGAACTTAACTCTTTCCACAGTTCTGGTGGTTTATATACTTGCAATTTCATTGCTACCAGAATGGTGGGAAGAACGAAGTTTGTGAACCGAGTTAGCACTGTGTACAGTGAATATTTAAATAAAAACCATTTGCTAGAGTAAAAGACTCATTGCCATTATCAATGGCAATATTCACCCTCATTTCCACACACTTATCCCACCTTTCTTGCACTTTCTGAAGCGGTTCTGGAAGTGCTCTTTGTTAGTGTCTTTACGAGGTATGATCAAAAATACAGTAAGGGTGAAGGATGTAGCTCAGTGGCATAAGCGCTTGCCTGGCAAGCATAAGGTCCTGAGTTTGATTCCTGGTATCCCACCAAAGAATACAGTAAATGCTGCTGCTGAGACCATCCAGCAGAAAAGTAGGCTGCTAAAAACAATAGGATATGTCCTCACCCACCTAACAGTATTTACCAAGTCTGGTGCTGTGCAATTTCTAGCTCTTGCACAAAGTCAAAATGACCACAAAAGGTTTTGAATCCATTGGAGACAGGAGGCAGCCATGACTGTACAACTAAAGACACTCCAGAAAGAGGACTTTCAGAACTGTTTCAGAACATGGAAAGAATAATGGGACACCTGTGTTTGAAGTAAAGGGGAGTATACTGAGAAGTGCTTTGGCACCATGTCTTCTATGGTGATATTATTTTTAAATGTACACACTCACTATATTTTTTTATCATACCTCATCCAGTAAACAACCAATAGTTTGTATATGGACAATTTTCTCATCGTAAAGATCACAACATCCTATGCCACTAAATTCTGTCCATGGATGTGCCGCATTCCTCCCACACCCGGGGCTACGCTGCTGCGTGCTGCTCACTGGGTGCTCTGGGGAGGCAGCAGGGAGACAGAGCAGGGCTTGGGGAACTGGAGCTTGGTGGAAGGACTATGGGGGAGAGAAGCTGCTGTGCAGATGCTGGATGCCACTCTGGGCGTTCAGGACGGCAAACAGCACTGAGTTTGACAGAACAGAGCTGGAGCAGGGAATGGGGCTCCTCTTGGCAGGAGACCACTCCCTTCCCCAGTGCAGGGTCCTGGGACCCCTGCCCCCACATGTCCCCACCTGCTAGCCATCAGGGAAACCAGTCAGTCTTGCTGAGCCTAATTTCTCCATGTGCCAAATGGAACACTGAGTCGGCACTCTAGGTACCCCTTTGGAGTCCCCCACCTGGCAGAGTTCCAATGTGCCTCTCGTGCTGCTCTGAGAATGAGAGATGACACCTTGAAAGATCACTTGGAGCTTCATCTTTTTCTTCCTGGTGCTGGGGGTTGACTGCTAGGCCTCACTCATGCTAAGCAGCGCTGAGTTACACTCCAGCCCGAGCACTACCAGGAACACAGTGAGCGCTCACTGAAAGCAGGATGTTCTGTAACCCTTGACCCTGAATGAAGGCATGGACGCTCCCCTGTCCTGTGGGGAGCCCTGAGCAAACATTCACAAATACTCTCCAGCTTCTGGCAGGGTAGAGGGCAGCTCCTCCCACTTTGCCAAAGAACTGGATCCCAGGTAAGTGGGGAACATGCAACAGGTACTTGTCACATTCAAGAGAAACCAGGGCACACTGGGTACCCACAGACTCGGAGCTGGGTGGTTTTAAGGACGTTATCTGATTTTGTTGAGCCCAGTTTCTTAACTGGAAAACTAGAGGGTATAACGTCCTGCTTGACTTTGATGAGATTTAAGGTGACAACTAACACAATGCCCATGCAGATGCCAGCACCCAGGCATTGTTCACATGGTGCTACCAACTCTCCCTGAGGACTCCAGAGGAAACTTGGAAACTCGTTCTCTGAAGGGTTCCTTGATGCCTTTTACCTGATGCCTTATGATGGGAGGCTTATACCTTGATGACAGCTCTGCTACTTCTGTCAGAGCATCACTGCTACCTACACTATATAGCCAGGATCCAAGAAGGAGCACATCCAGAGCAGGCTCCACTCCAAAGGGAGGAGTCTTGAGAACTCCCCAAGGGATGTCCAAGCTGTGAAGCCAGTGGCACTAAGCTGAGGAAGACACCCACTGAATGATACAGACAGAAGCCCTCTTTACTCTGGAGCTGGATAGCCTGGCACAGCCCCCTGCACACTTAGAGCAGGGAGCACTTGGTGCCCCAGGAACTGAGGTCCAAGCAGCACCCGCAGTCAGTGGTAGAAGGCACCTGCAGTTCTGGGCTTTCAGCAAACCTGCCTGGAGCAACATTTGGGTCTTGGTGAGCCACAGGCAATAGGGACCTTCCACAGCCCAGAAAGCTGTGCCTGTACCTGGAGTGCCCCAGTGGGGCTGGGGAGCCCTGGGCAGGTGGGGGGCTGCAGCCTAAGGGTGGGGGAGATGGACCCAGAAGACCCTGCAGGGCCGTGAGGCTCTGGACTCCAAGGACTGATGCCAAGCGGTAATGGGCACTGAGCTTGATAGGATCCGACTGTGTCCCAGAGAAAGGCAAACTAGGCAGAAATGGTCTTTGCAGCTGGCCCAGCACTAGTCAGTAGTGTGGTAGATGTCCTGTTGGTGCCATGGGTGAGGGTGTGCCCTCCACCAGGGGCTGCTGCCTCCTGGACAGAGGAGGATTCCAGGCATCACCAGGGTGAGATGAGGGTGGAGAGGGTGGGGCACAGCTCAGGAGCAACTCCAGTTTACACGCATTATCAAACACTGGTCCTGACGTAAATTCAGACTCAGTGTCCACGGCCTTGCTGAGATTGCCAGCCCTTCCAGCCTGTTTCTGCTCTGTGCAGGGGCTAACCACAGGCACATCACGGACTGTTCGAGGATGCCCTCAACACAGCCTCTAAGGGTGGCGGTGGGGGTGGCGGCAGGAAGTGTGTCTCCCTCTCAAGAGAGGCTCAAGGGGACCTGAACAGGTGCCCTGCTTTCCAAGGGAGCTGTGAGAACCCAGATCACACCATAAATGAGGTGAACTCATGCCGCAGAGCCTCGTGAGAATCAGGAATCAGAGATCAGAGCCCTGAAGCCAGCCTGTTCCTCATGTGCTGTCACTACAAAGGGCGGTCTGAATCTACAGTAGCATGTGCATGAGAAGCAAGCGTGCTCTGTGCTGTGGTTCCCCTTGCATTGGTTCCAATGCATACAAAGCAAAAAGTTGAACATTACAAAGTTTTAGACAACAAACAATTAACTAGGGGCAGCAAAGGGTACCAAGGAAAAAGATGAATCTCCAGGAATAAATCAGGGTCAGAAAAGGAAAAATGTTCCTGAGATGAAGGGATGGTGATGTAAGGTGTTGTGTGATAAAGCAGCAATTGTTCAGCTCAAAACTCACAAGAGGCACCTCGGTGCCACCCCAGAGTCCACTAAACTGTGGAGACACTGGTAGTGTCCAGGATGTACTGACTTGATACACCTGCTCACCAGATGGAGCCTTGGGATGGGAAGAGGCCAGATGACATTCAATTTCTTATCCTTAGCAGCTGGCAACATGCTGATATCCTTTCGTTCAGATACGTACACACCCAGTAGTGAGATGTCTGGTGCACACTGGGGCATTAGTACTCACTGTCCTTTGGCTCCAGGAGATGTATACAAAATAAGTTGTTTGGACTGGAAAGAAGTAGGAGGAGCAAGGTAATTGACACAGACTTGCACATGGAGTATCAAGCAAAGCATGAGAGGTATCAGGCCAAAATATTTATGTCAAAATGCATCTAGTACCAAATTTGATGAGTTTCAAATTAAGGGAGTATCTAGATATGACTGCAGTTAACAATAAGTTATTGTAGACATCTGAAAATAGCTAGAAGTTTGGATGCTCCAACACAAACACATGATAAATGTTTAATACCTATGCAAAGCACCCTGAGCTAATCATGTCATACTGTATACACGTGTCAAACATACTATACTCCAAAATATGTATAATCATCATGTATCAATTTAGAAATTTTTTTAAAAGTCTAGTGCTTTAGTTGTTCCTTCGGAGGCACTACTTATGGAAAGAGAGAAGGGAAGAAGAAAGGAATTTAGCAACCCATCATTAAGGGCTTTCTTTGTATTAGATGCCTGTCTGGCTGCTCCGAATCCAATAAAGAACAGGGATCTTTGCTACTCTGGGACATCAGGAGTCCCAGTAAGGGGACAATGGCTGGGAATGAGGTTCGTAGGCTGGCTGTCCTGGCCAGTGGGGAAGTTTCAGTTTCTTTCTGCAGACAGTGAGGAGCTCCAGAGGGCTGTACCTCAGGCAGAAACACAGGGCTCCTCACTTTACAGTGCACTTGGAGAGCCATAGGGAGACCCGGGAGAACAAGTGTGCTAAGACAGGTGAGAGGAGGGACAGAAGGTGCACTTGAATTGTAGAATTTTTCAGGAGGTACAATGGGCAGTGTCTTAGTACTTTCCCCACTGTTGGAACAAAATAATGGACACCAGTACCTTAAAGGAGGAGAAGTGTATTTGGGCTTGCGGTTTTGGATGTTTCAGTCCATGTTTAGTCTGCTTAAACATGGAGACAGCAAAGTGGGAGGGTCTGGTGGAGCACTGCTCACATCATGGCGGTCAGAAGCAGAGAGAGAGGAGAGGAGCTGGGGAGGGAAAGCGCTTCCAGGTTATTCCCTAGTGAACTGTCTCTTGACCCTGCCTCCTAACAGCAAATCAATTATATGACCCCCATGATTCAATCACCTTTCAAAAGGCCCACCTATGACCTCCTGAGGCCTGCGGGGGACATTCTTGATCTAAACCAGGACAGGCAGGACTTTAATATCTGGATATGGGGGTCCAGGTGGGAAGAGAAAGAATTCCAGGCCAAATTGCAGACCTGCATAGCCTGGAATAACAATTCTTAAACATCAAGAGCTAAGACCCAGGACAGTTTTATAACATTTTTAGTGGCTACAGATTTGAAGGATGGCCATAAAAGTTGAAAGGGACCCTCAGAAATACCAGTCAGATCCAACTACAGAGATGGGGAAACTGAGGCTCAGCGAGGTCAGAAGCTTGACACACAGCCACCTGGCTGGCAAGCAGCAGATCAGCCAAGGACCCCCTGCTCTATTTCTCTTGTCTGTTCTCGTCTCCATCTTTCTTATCCAGCCAAGACAAGGCCTAAAAAGTAGCCAGAGTCATTTTAAGGAAATGCATAGAGGTGAAGCTTTGGGGAGGTGCATTTTTTCCAGAATACAAAAGCTTCTATGATTACTCAGTGGCTTTTAAATTGGCAAGTCTGAGGCTCATCTCTCTCCATTACTCCCTCTTTAGCTTCTACACGGCTGGAATATTTTATCAGGGCCAACAATTATGAGAATAGACAGAAGACAAAGTAGGTCCTCTGTGCACACAGAGCTGTACAAACAGAGCATCTGCTCTGCATGCGGATGGAGGCCCACCTGGCAGTGCCATTCAGCTCCACGGAGCATCAGGACCCCAGGCACAGGACTCATAACAGAGAGTCTTGCTTCTATCCAATTGCCAAGCTGGCTTTTCAGCAGGACTCTACTCATATGCCCCGCACTAAAATATTTGTGCAATGTTCTGCATATTCACACATACATGCATGTGCACATACACACAGAGACACATGCCTGACCACAGGCACAGACATGTATGCATACACACACAGACACACACACACACACACACTTTCTGATTCTTCCCAACAAGAATCAATAATTCCTAAGTAGAATAAATGAAATGTTTGTTGCTCTTCAATCTGTAGAATGGCAGGGAAGGTTTAGACTCATTCTAAGTTACAGCTGACACAGGCAGACTCATTTGTTCATCTGTCTTCCTTTTTGCTTCCTCCTTCTTCCTTTGTTTCCTTCCATTCTTCCTTCCCACCCTTGATGCCATCTGCTTTTCTAACTCTCTTATCCAGTCATCCAACTTCCCATTCGCCTATTCACACCTTACATCAGGCTTACTCCTTTCATTCAGTTCATTCATATACCTATTTGTTCATTAGCACACGATCACTGAACTCCTTCTAAGTGCCAGGTACTGCTCTTTGCCTTAGGACACACAAAAACAGTTCCAAAATAAAATAGGCCCTGCTCTCGAGGAGCTCATTTGCTTGCTGGGGAGATAGACAGGGAAGCAAATAATCACATCTTCTGATTTGTTCCCAGGATTGGATGAAATGTTAAAAGAGCAGTTAGTGCCTCCACTGTGGCCTGAAATGATTTCTCATAGGTGACTGTTCAGTTGGACTGGGAGGGATGAGTAGGAGCCCAGTGTGGTGACAGGGACATGAAGCAGAAGAAATGCTATCAGCTAAGAGGAGCACTGCACCTTTCCGGACCATTAAGCAACCCAAGAGCCTTGAGAATATGCCAGGACTAAACAGACAGAACCCTTTGGGAAGGGCTAAGAAACACAGGGATTCTGAAAGCCAAGAAATTTGAGTGATAGGAAGTCAGCTCTTCATGCAGGGGAGGGACAGGACAGTGTGAGAAGGTGACACAAATGCTTATAGCAGTTATACGGATGCTATAGCAGTCCGGATGAGAGGCACAGTGTGCTGGATTCACAGGGCAACACCAAAGGGAGAGCAACTTTTGTTTCTACTAACTCTGCCACCCATGGAGTAGGTGGAAAGACAAGAAAGCGCTGTGCTCCCCAACTCTGAAGGCGCCTATGGGGAAGAGCTCCGAATCTGTGCACTCCTTTCGCCATTGCCCCATGGGCCCTGTGCTTCTCAAGGCAGGAAAACACACTAGCTTCTGACAATCAGGGTCACTTTGACCCAATCTGAATAAATTCCAGGAAATGAGCTGTCACATGGACCTGAGAATAACCCCATCTGAATCAGTGGAGCTGGAAGGTTCTACAACAAGTCTCTGTCTCAGGCTGCTCCCAGGAGTGTCAGCTCCCTGGCACACTCTTCACACTGTACACACAGGTATGATAACCCCCCAGCCGTTCTAGAAAACTATTTCAGGCTCCAAGATGTAGATGCTAGCAACCTGAAGTTCTGGGAACAATGACATGGCTGTGGCTGCCCAGCAACTCATCCTGTGCTTGTAAGACTTTCTGGCTGGGATAGGTGACAAGCAAATGGTCAAAACTGGACCTGAGCAGATGCAAGAGGCAGAGAAGGATCCTGACCAGCAGGGGTCAGTGAGAAAAACAAGGTTGATGTCCTGGGCATGGGGGATGGAAGAAACTGCCCTGAGTTCAAGCACTTAAGGAGCTTTGCAGTAAGTCTGGCCAAGGCAAGACTGATTAATGCCAGCATCATCAGGCTGTTGGGGACACAGACACAGCCACCCCACAGACTGCCCCACTCTGCTCCCTGTCATATTCACGTACAGAGTTTGCAACACTGCTGCGGCATCTCTCTCTGCTGCAGGCTCAGCTGCCATGTGACTCTTTGCTGTCCTGCTGTGGATTCACTCTCCCCTTGCTCCCAAGGGCCTTTATTTACTAACTTTCTTGCTCCTTTGCCCAAGTTTTTGCTTGTTCTCTCACCATCTCCTTTACAAATGCACTCATTCTGCTACATTATTCAATGACTCCTATAAGAGATCCCCAGCCTGCCAAATGGAAGGCAGTGAAGGGTTTTTACCCTGAGACGGATGGCTGCCATCTGCACTATCAGGATGTCGTAGAATGGTTGATAATGGTGCACAGGAGGCTACCCCTAAATTGATGAGTGTCACACTCAGGTCCAGCAAGTCCCCCAAAGCACAAGTGGGCGGTGTCTTTTACCTGTGATTTCCTTGGTTTCTCCATTGGTGTGCTCCAAGCGATCTCCTTCTACACGGACACTTGGACAGAGCACATCTGAGGAAAGAAAGCAAAACAGAAGCGAGTGAGAAAACATGGACCATGGACACCCTGTGACATATGACAGCAAATAGAGCCTATCGCACCTCCAGCACCAGGAGGAGCTGGTGTATGAGCTGATATCTCTGCCTGTGCTAATGCTTTTGTTTACTCCTGTCCTTGTTGAACACTGACTCTGCAAATATTTTGCTTTATTCTGGGGTAAAATAGGAACAAAGTATTGTCCCCATCTCAAAAGGACTCACAGCATCATCCACTACAAGAAGCCAGACATTAAAACCAATATTCACAACACAATGCAACAAGTGACAGACGTGGATAGTTGCTAGGGACTTAGGGCACGGGTAGGCCACCTACCCGCCAAAGACAGGAAACCTTTGCCAGAGAGGCTTTTCTTACAGGAATAGTGAGATAGAGCCAGTGATACATGCCACACATGAGGGATTCTCATGTATAAAGGCTGTTATGGTTTGTGTCTGGATGTTCCCACAAATCCTCATGCAGTCATGGGGTGGACTTCTAGGGTTTTTGATTGATCCACGATCCAGTGGTGGTATTATGGGTGTGAGTGCTATACCTGCCCTGGAGTAGGTAGTTTGCATACAATATAGAGGGGGAAAGATCCTGCTGTCTGCCTCTTCTCCCTTTTGCTCTCATTGCTTTTGCTGTTTTTGCCTCCATGAACAGTTGCCCTCTGCCATGCATCACCCTGCCTTGGAGCCAGCTGATTATAGACTGAAACCTCCATAAACTGAGCTAAACAAATCTCTCCTTCCTTAATTTTGGGCATCAGGTATTTTGTCTCAGCAAAGAGAGAAAAATAACTAAGACAAAGGCATGGAAATATATATGAAATTTTGAGAGTGTATTGGGGTGTCCACAAAATGGGACAAAAGAGTGTCTGAAGCAGATCAAAAAAGTGTTCTGTAAGTCACCCTATGAAGCTTTGGGTACAATTCCAGAAGAATTCAAATGCCTGAAGAAGCAACATTTCTCAGTTACACAAAAGCACTAGACCAAGTCACACCAAAAAAATAAGAAGTTATCCTACCTGTTATGGTTTATATCTAGACATCCCCCTACAAAGCCCCATGCACTCATAGGTGGGGCTTTCAGAGGACTGGATCATGGATACTGGATTACTCCACTGATGGGTTTATAGCTGGGTATGATATTAGTAGGTGAAGCCTGGAAGGAAGAGGTGGGTCACCGTCAGTGTGGCCTAGAGATGGGTAGATAGATGTCTCCATCTTTCTCCCTTGATAGTCCACTCTGATTCCTGCTGTGCTATGGACTGTTTCCCCTCTGCCACGCTATCTTGTCTTTGAATCAGCTGACTATGGACTGAAACCTCTACAAACTGTGAGATAAAATAAACCTTTTCTCCTTTAACTTGTAACACAATAACCTGACCCCTCCCTGCTGACTGGTTAAGTATGGCCCTGTAATCCCATGCTGAAATGTTTATGCCCCTAAATAGGGAAAGTGGAGAGAATAACTAAGATGCTACTATGTTATAAATGTGACTTATCTTAAAACCTTCATGAATTGTTATGTTTATAAAGAAATAAAACTATTTTGGTCTAAGTATCTGAGAATGAATGAGCCTTAGCTCCATAATTCAAAATGCTGGATTCATTCAGTAGCTCTAGGTCCCTGAGTCTGTCTCCATGTGAGCATCTGGGCAGGGATATCTCAGACACAAACCCGTGGCAGGGCTGCTCTGAGAGCAGGGCAAGGTCAAACAGGTCAGAACCCAGAGACTAGAACCCAGGGTAAGAATTCCCTTTCTTAAACCTGGTCCTCAAGGCAGCTGTTGAGCCTTGAGAAGTTCGATCTGCCCAGGAAGCAATGTGTGCTTCCTCCATGATCATTTTCCTCACACAGTATGTCTCATCATTCCATCAATTCTATATGCAAAGACTGCTTCCCCTATCTAGGGGCACAAACATTTCAGGATTGGACCACAGGGCCACTGCTAATTCATCATCAGTGATGGGGAAAATGAGATTGTTCCTGATCTGGGAAGAGGTATTTTTAATGTTTATCTTAAAAGGCATCAGCAGGTCTGAAAAACCCATGGCAGGTGCTATTTTGGAAACAGCGTCAAGCTGTCCGTCTAGTGTGAAACATGAGAGAAGATACAGGCACTGGGCAATATTTAGACAACTCCACCCTGGACCGCGGCAGCTGCAGGGTGACGATCAATGGCTTTCTGGCAGTCTGCCTGGAGACTGCCTGTCATTTAACTAAGTTTAAAATGTAAAAGGAGGTGACTAGGAGGGGCCTTTCCAAGATGACGAGCAAAACTCTGGAGACTGATGTTGGAGCTCAGAAGAAGCTGCACAGCTGAGTCACATATGCAAACATCTCAAGGGAGGACCTGGTTCTCCAACCAATCGTCAAAGCCAATCTGAAGGCCACACACAGAAAAGATGGATAGTGATCTTGAAGAATGTAGAACTTGCCGAACTGCTTTAAGGACTCATTGCCAAAACAACTGCAAAATCCTTTTTGGGGCCATCACTAAGCCTCAGACATTCAAAAGGCTCCAAGAGTGATTTATAGCTCACTTTGTTCAGTCGGGACGAATGGATCCCAAAATACCCTCAGCCAGACTTCCTCACAGAAGGGTCAGGGCCCTTGGGGTCATAGACTTGGTAGGAGGGTGGGCTCAGCACCTCAAGCTCTTCTTAGCCACACTCTAATTTGTGGTGTCCAAGATACCTCTGTATCTTGGGTGCATCTGTTTACTTCCACATTCATTATTTATTTAAACTGAGATGTTTTACTGAGATTCAGAAAAGCTCTAAGCACAGACTTCATTCTAGGGACACAGAAATGGATAATGCATTGTCACAGTTCCTGCCTTCAGGCCACTTGTGGGCTGACTATAGTGACAGATTCCAAACAAGTAAAGGTAAAAAACAATCACAGCTGTGTGACACTCTTTTGACCCCTCATACAAGAAGCTTTCTCCTGGATTTGAGACTCTGCTGAGGTTTGAAGCACTCCAGGGCCTTGTTCCCACTCTCCTCAGTATGGGTGAGGAACCCTCCTTGGGGACCTGGTGGCCCAGAGCTGATGGAGCAACACTGAAGTCATTATTCAGCATGCTGTCCCTGAGGCACAGTGATCCCCACACCTGGATGGATCTCAGCTCCCCTCCATAGCCCTACCACTGTTGATGACAAGTAAAAATGATCACTGGTACCCAAGGTCATAAGCAGACACCAGAGAGTAGATGGGAGGGCAAGCCAGGTATGGGGTCATCAAGATTTTGATGAGCAGTGAGAAGACTCCACAGACTCCAAGACTCCAGGGCTCCTGCCAGAAGGTTCTTTGCACCTAGGGGTGGACACATGGCCCAGTTCTAACTAAGAAATCAGAAGTTCACTATGGCTGGAAGGAGACCTTCTTTATAAAAGGCTTTTGATTTTCTTGATATAAGGGGATGACAGGTAGATGGGTTGGCAATTCTACTTTCCCTTTGTCCTCCTTCATGTGAGTACATAATGTTGGGGAGGTGTCCAAGGAGAAAATAGTAACCCCCAAACCAGCAAACCCCAAGCCTGGGAAAAAAGCACAGGAAACAACTCAGATGAGTTTAAGCCAGTGCTGTGTGCTGTCTACCCTCCACATCCATAGGTGTTCCCTTCCCCTCCTGTGAGCAGCACTGAGCACAGGACTGACTGGAGAGCAGGTACTCTTTCTGGAGGTCTGAGGACAATGAACAGGGCGCTGAGGACCCAGGCCTGACTCTCTTGGGAAAGGATCTAGTGACATACCAGGTTTCCTTCCCTGTCACAATAATAGGGATTTGGTAGATAACAATTCAAGACCAACAGAAGCAGCCATCCTGGAATTAAGGACAGAGATAAGGTCTTAAAATGTATATTTAATGTGTTCCTAATTGGTCAATTTTCTTTTGAAAACATGAGAACACAAAGGACAAACTCTGATACAGTAGGGAGTTAGCTAGACATAAGATAGGGTTAGGATGAGCTTGTGGGTACACAGCTTCCTAAGAAGACTCATCTAGCCCCTTCCAGGTATTCCATCTGCACAGGTATATGAGCCTGGGGTCTGCACATGCCTTTGTAGGGGACTTGGGTCCCATGTTGAACCATTAGATCCTTCTGAACCCAACTAAACCTCATTTGCATACATTTGCATGGTGGTTTTGATCCCCGTGCTGTGGGGTGGCTGCCTTATTCATTCTGGCTGAGACCATGTAGCTTCAAAAATGCCCTCTCCGGACAGAGTCTCATTGTTAGTTGAAGGAAAACCCTGTTAGGCAACATTTGACCACTCCATCAAATTATAGGAAAACAAAAGGGAAACCAATCTAGTCCTGGGGCACTTGGTCTTTTTCAGTGCTGCCTGTCCCCATCCTTGGGAGCATACATGCTTTTAGCTGGTGCTAGCTTCACTGAGTTGCCTACTTTCCTCCCTTGGGAATATAGTATCCTCAGTAAAGCAAAACTGCTTCACTTAGCGTGTAGCATGCTTGACAACTAATGAACTGGATTGCCAAATCTGTTCCTTTTGGCTCTGAGTTCCTTTCCAGTGACCTCTTCACAGCCCTTCTTGGTGAGAATTCAAGAGCAGCAACATCAACAAAGTGCAGAACCCTGCACAGACCACCACGCCAGCCTAGGCAACCCCAAACCCTGTAACAGAAATATATGAGTACAAAGACGACACTCCATTCCAGGGTAATTATTACCTACTTGCTGACATTCATTTTCCTCCACTCTAGGTAACAGAAACAAACGGCCCAGACTTCTGGAGAGAACACAGCTATCTCTCCCAACACACCAGGCACTCCAACTTTGTGCATCCAGAGATAATGGTTGATTGGAGCTGCTGCTCCAAAAGGAACTCCCAGGCATTTACTTCTATCTTTCTAGAAAAACACTTGAACTTGTGCTTGGCTCACCAGATGTGAAAAGGGAGCATGTGTTTGCATACTGGGGGAGAGGAAGACTTGTACA